AATGCTTAGGAATAATCTTGGTTCTCTCTTGCCTCCGGAAACACTCTTTTCATTTTTATTGAAATGTATACTTTTCTCTGTTTACATTTTATTCTTCCCAATTTTTATATGGACTTGGATATAAAAACTATATCCCTCTCTTCTTAACTTGAAGAAAAATGGTGCTGTTGCCCTAACTGATTTGGCTCAGTGGATAGAGCCTTTGGACTGAAAGGTCCCAGGTTCAGTTCCAGTCAAGGGCATGTACCTGGGTTGTGGGCACATCCCCAGTAGGAGGTGTGCAGGAGGCAGCTGATCAATGTTTCTCTCTCATTGATGTTTCTAACTATCCCTCTCCCTTCCTCTCTGGAAAAAATTAATAATTTTTTTTTTTAAAGAAAAATGGTGCTGTTTATACATGGATGAATGGCAGCTGTCACTTTGCCTTAGTGTGAAAGAGATAATTGGGAGTGGTGAGAACTGTAATAAAATTAAAAAGCACATACCCCATCTGAATGGATGATAATAGCCATATCTCTCAATTTTTAAAGAGAAAACCTGAAAGTATTTAAATATTTCATGTCTAACTTAATGCTTTAAAAAACAAACAATTCCATTCTAGGAGGCCCCAAACTCCAATAATTACCACTGGAAATGTGGAAGATTAACTATGTGTACTTCAAACCACACTGGGGGAGAAGAGAGAGATAGAAAGCGCTGGGAATGTTGGAGAGGTGTCTCCCATGGTCTGCCTTCCACCTCTCAGCTGACCCCAACACATATGCTGTTCGTTTCTGGTCTTCTTGTGGAAACCTCTCCCTAATTTGCTCCAGAGTCACTGCTTCACACTTGAGTTCATACTTGCTGGAGAGATGGAAAAATCTTAGAGGAAATTCTAACAATAACAATAGCAAACTTATATTGAGAGTCTGGCACTGTTTATTCTTTCACTCTACAAATATTTACTGAATGTCTGCTATGTGATAGAACAATAAAGTTTCTGTGATGTGATAGGCACTCTATAGGCATTACGAATAAATCGGTTTTAGAAAAAGACAGAAATGCCTGTCCTTGTAGAAACTATATTCATTTGGGTAACAGATAATAAATGAAATGAATAAGTTTAGTGTATGTTGAGTTAGATGGTGATAAATGCGATGGAGAAAACTAAAGGAGAAAAGGGTTATTTTTCAGGTTCTCCAAAATGTAATTGCAATGGTATACTTGGTAACTGTGGGATAAAAGCTATATTAGTGGGGGATTTTTGAAACTAATTTTCTCCCTCTCTAAAATACATTATTACATCCTGGGGGGAAATGGCAGAGATTAGGACTACCTTAAGAATGCAAGGCGGCTCAGCTGGCGTGGCTCAGTGGTTGAGCGTCGACCTATGAACCAGAAGGTCACAGTTCGATTCCTGGTCAGGGCACATACCCGGGCTGTGGGCTCGATCCCCAGTATGGGGCATGCAGGAGGCAGCCAATCAATGATTCTCTCTCCTCATTGATGTTTCTGTCTCTCTCTCCCTCTCCCTTCCTCTCTGAAATCAATAAAAATATATATTTTTTTAAAAGATGCATGCCCTAGCCGGTTTGGCTCAGTGGATAGAGTGTTGGCCTGTGGACTGAAGGGTCCCTGGTTTATTTCTGGTCAAGGGCACATGCTTTGGTTGTGGGCTCGATCTCTAGTGTGGGCTGTGCAGGAGGCAGCCGATCAATGATTCTCTCTCTCATCATTGATGTTTCTATCTCTCCCTCTCCCTCTCCCTTCCTCTCTAAAATCAATCAATATATATATATATATATATATATATATATATATATATATATATTTTTTTTTTTTTTTTTTTTTTTTTTTTAAAAAGCAGGCTGATGGCTCTCCTTTATCCCCATTTAATTCACCAGTCTGGCCCTTATATAATGTCTCATCCTGGAGAATAGTAAACTCAACCAAATAGCTTCCCTAATTGCAGTTCTATGCCAAATGTGGTATCTCTTCTGGAGCAGATTGATAGGCCCTTGGCTACCTGGCATTGGTTAGCAAGTGCATTCCTTTTCAGTCCCATCAAGGAGAGGAAACCGATGCATGTGAATGACAGAGACATTTGCAGTCTTGCATGGGGTTAACTCTTTTGCCCTCTGTTATAATCTGACCCAGGGGAAGCTGGACCGCCTGGACATTCCGCATACCATCACGGTGATCCACTAATTGATGATACCATGTGTGGTGGTTTTTGAGGACGCCCACAAATTCTGTGATATTTCTTCCTTCAGGAGGCAGAGCTTAAGCCCTCTGCCCTTGAGTGTGGGCCAGACTTAGTGACTTTCTTCTAACAAATAGAATTTTACAGAAGTGATGATGTGTGACTTCTAAGATAGTACAGCTTTGTTCCTTGCTCTCCCTTGGATCACTAGCTGTGAGGGAAGTCAGGCACCGTGTGACAAGACACGGGAGCAGCCCTGCAGGGAGATGCACATGAAAAGGAGCTGAGAGGCCTCCTGCCAAAACGCATTTAAACAAGCCATCCTGGAAGCAGATCCTCCAACCCCAGGCAGGCCTTCAGATGCCTGTAGCCCTGGGTGACACCTTGCCTTGTACCCTCAGGGGAGACCTTGAGCCAGAATCACCCAATTGAGCCACTCCCAAATCCCTGACCTACTGAAATTGTGAGATAATCAACATTTAGTGTTTTAATAGGCTACACATCAAGGAAATTTGTAACAGAGCAACAGGTAATGACTACATCAGATTAATCAGAACAGATGATTGAGAAATGGCAAGAGTGTTGGAGGCCTTGGTAAGATAGACACGCTCGAAAGGGTAAAATATACACTCCAAGAAAATTCAGAGATTCTCCACGTAAGTGTCTAGTAGTCTGGGACATCCCAGGCACCCATCACTAAAAAGATGCATGTTGCCTACTGGGTTCTGGAATCAGCATATTCAACACTGGGAAATACTGCACCAAACCATTTGCCGAGTGACGTGGCAGGTTGCCAGCTATGAGTGGGGTCCACCAACACAATAATAGCCGCCTGGTGTGAATGAATCAAAATTATTTGTAGTCACATTGGCAAAAATATATTTTTTGGTGTGCTGGTGAATTTTAGTAGTTTATGTGTGCCATGAGATGAAAAAGGTTGAAAATTGCTGCACTGTCCTGACTGGTGTGTTCAGTGGTTAGAGCATTGCCACGTGCACTGAAGGGTTGCAGTTCGATTCCTGGTCAACGGCATGTACCTGTATGGCAAGTTCAATCCCCGACCCTAGCAGGGGTATGTGCGAGAGGCAACCCATCGATGTGTCTCTTTCACATGGATGTTTCTCTCTCTCTCTCTCTCTCTCTCTCTCTCTCTCTCTCCTCTCTCTCTCTTCCTCTCTCTTTCTCTCTCTCTTTTCCTCCATCTCTGCCCCCTCCCTTCTACTTTTTCTAAAAAAATCAATGAAAAAAATATCCTTGAGTGAGGGATTTAAAAAAAAATTTAAAATAAAATTGCTGTACTGAGTCAGTCACAGGGTCCTGAGAACCCAGCAGAGACCCATAGCAAGATGGAAGTGATACATGCAGGATTGGGCCTGAGCAGGGCCAGAGGACAAGGAAGTTGCACGAATAGATGGCACGGCCTCCTGTGTCGTCCAGTACTATGACACTGTGCCTCTCCCTAGCTCACACTTATGATTGTTTGGAAAGAAGGGCATGGGGAGAGGGGACAGGGAGATGTCATTAAGATAAACTCATTGAAAATAAAAAACCTGTGCTTGGTACATAGATGGGTCAGCTTGGTAAACGGTGAAGCCAGAAATGGACCACTGCACTCCAGCCCCATTCAAAGATGGCCTAGGAGACAGCAGCGAAGGGAAACTCTCCCGATGGGAAGAGCTTTATTAGTACACTTAGTCAGCTACATTGTGTAGAAAGAAAGTAGCCTGAAATAAAAGCATAAGTGACTCATGCCAGTGATTAATAGTATGGCTGCTTGGTCATGGACTTGGAAGGGGAAAGCATGGAAACTGGGAAGAAGCAGGTGTGGGGAAGAGGTATGCGGACGGACTATGGTGTGCCAGTCCTCTGGCCACTGGGGGTATTGCAGGACTGCTATCCAGAATATATTTAAAAACCCATCACATCTCAGTTGTAAGAAACAACCCACTTTTAAAGTGGGCAAAAGGGTTGAAGGCACTTTATCAAAGAGGATACATGCATTGCAGACAATCACATGAAAGATGTTCAAGGTCATTAGCCATTAGGAAAATGCAAATCAAAGCCACAATGAAACATTGCCACAGTTAGGAGGATAGCTAAAGTTAAAAGATTGAGCACACTCTACACCTAAAACGAGTACAATGTTCCATGTCAATTATATCTCAATTAAAAAAAGACTGAGTGCATCAGTGTTGGTGAAGATAGAGGAACTGAAACTCTCACACTTCTGGTGAGAATGTACGGTACTTTGGAAAAACAATTTGGCAGTTTTTTAAAAAGTTAAGCATACACCTACCATATTTGATCCATCCATTTCACATCTAGTTATTTACCCAAGAGAAAAGGAAATGTGTGTATAAAGATCCACATGTATAGTGTTCATAGAGGCTTTATTTGTAACAACCTGAAACTGGAAACAACTCAAATGTCCAACAAAAGTAAGTAAATAAATTTTGTATATCCGTACAGTGGAATACTAGTCAGCAGTGAAGATAAATGAGCTCTAAAGTTCACTCAACAACATATGCGAATCTCAAATTATGCTCAGTAAAAGTAGCCAGACCAAAAACGGAGAACATACTGTATGATTCTATTTATCTAACATTCTACAGTATGTAAATGAACTTATAGTGACAGAGAGCAGATTAGTGGTTGCCTGGTGACATGGTGGTGGGTGGGAGAGAAGGGAGGAGGAATTACAAAGAGGCATAAGGAATCATTTGGGAATGTGCTCACTAATTTACCAAACTTACACTTTAAATGTGTACAGTTTATTGTATGTCATCATGCTTCAGTTGAGCTGTTAAAAGAAAAAAGATTCAATCTCATGTCCAATACCTGCCCCTTGGATCAAAGACCATACTCTGGGAATTCTGTCTCCACTGTAACCCACAAGAAAGTGACCTGAGGTAAGCCAGTGAGCTTAGACGACCTGGAGGTCAGGTCAGTGTGGCAGGGTGTTGCAAGTTTTAACTTAGGAGGTACAGGGGTGGTATTCACTCATTCATCAACAAGAAACAATTGTGTGTGTGAAATCTGTGTGATGCCAGGTTTTATGCTAGGATCTGGAGAGACAGAGTTGAATCAGATATGAATCCTGCCATTAGGGAAGTCAAGGTCATAAACCAGGGAAATGGAGCTTCTTATGTCTGAGACAATCCAGAAGCCTGTGAAGGTCTGATAGGATGAACTATGAGTATGGAAGGGTCAGACCCAGATCAGGAAGAACTGGGGTTGGGCACTGAGCTGCATTGATCTCGGATGCATCTCTGAGGATCCAGGTTCTAGCCCTTTGACATCCAAACTTGAGCCACTCAGCAAGGGTTGTGGGCAGGGGTAGACTCCCTGACAAAGAGTGGGTAGTGTAGGTAGTTCCAAATATGTCTGTACAGTGAGTCGAATGAAAGGAAGCATGTATGGAAATGGTCAACTTGAAGATCGCTGAGTAGAAAGTCTATAGTAGAGATAAAAGTAATGCACTAGGGAACAGTTTTTGGAGGAATGGACTCAAATTGGAATTCGAGGGGCTCTTAAAACCCAGTCTGAACAAGTGGAGCTCAGCGGGTGCCAGACAGGGATTGGCACAGATGGGGAGAGGAGAAGAATCTTCGTGGTGTAGTTAGGGATGGACTAGGCCAGAGGATGGATGGGATCCACCCAGGAAGTGGATTCACAGCCAATCAGAGAAATATTTAAAACGGGGCCACGGTGTGACCAAATGGCAGGGGGAGGAGCCAGTCCTTTTTCCCCAGCAGGAACACGGATGACCTTAGAGAAATGGAAATCAAGGGGCTTTGGATAAGGAGCCCAGGAAAAGAAGGTGTTCAGGTCAAGGTAGAAATTGATGCCTACGGGGTGCTGATGGTAGATGCTCACAGAATTGTGAGCAAATAGTTGACTGACATTTTAAGCCACTAAGTTGTGAGGGAATTTGCTATGCGGCAAAAGTGAACAGCTACATTCTACTCAGTATCCCTTTGAGTCCATCCCAAGGGAGTTCTATGCTGAGCACCCCCGTTTGTCACTGACCAGCTCTGCAGTTCTGCCAGGGGAGGTCAGTGGTGCCTGAGGGCTGGGGGAGGATGACATGAGATGGAGACAGTGTGACATGAGGAGAGGATCACTTGGGGTAGAGCCAGTGTGACATGAGGGCAAGGGTCAGTGTGACACGGGGAGGGCTCAGGGTATTAGGTGAGGGGTCCTGTAGTTCATAGAGAAGGGAGGTTATTTTTCAGTTGAGGGCTGGTACCTGTCAGAGAGGCGGAGATCGCTGCACTAAGTGAGGACAGGTGAGTAAGCCTGAGGGGACCAGGGTCCTGAATTATTACTGCAGTCCGTGGACTCAGGCAGACAGGATTAGCCGGAGGGGAGTTCTCTTAGCTAATAAAGGAGCTAATTTATGGCTTATGATATATCTCTCTGTGGGGAGGGATCAGAACTCTCCCCTTGGAGAAATTTCCCAGCTTACAATGGGAGGGCAGACACTAGAGAGATACGGTCTGGCTGCTTTTCCTCCCTCTGATGCTGAGCACACCTTGCGCCTAGTTGAGCACACCTTGCCTCCTTGAGCCTCCCCATCCCTCCTTATAATTTCTCCCTTTGCAAAGCTTCCAGGTGGTCAGGCCGGTTGAGCAGTTCCTCCCTTCCCAGGTCTTCTCACTGGAAGAGGCTATGGAGACAGCAGATAGGAACCACCTCTTTCTAGTCTTCACCTTTTTGGCAGTGACAGGTGAGTGCAGGCTCCTGCTTTGGCTTACAATTCAGAAAAGGCCACATAGAAAAATACCAGAGGATGTGGGTTTGGATCCAAGGGGCGGGGAGGTCATCAGTTAGAAAGAAAAAGAATGCAGGACTCCAGTGATTGCAGTCTCCTGGAACACTCAGACATCTAGAGCCCATTGATTTTCCTCTGGCTCCTGGATCCCAGGTGCAAGAGAATTTGAACTGAGATAACAAGACTTTATACAATGGATGGTAGGTGTTAGCAAAAGTGTGATTTTGCTGTATAGCTAAGAAGGAAGCTAAAAGAGAAGAACCAAGAGGGAGGGAGGGAGGGAGGGAGGACACTAATACAGCAGGAACAAGGGAAAATTAACAGAAGGATTTTTGAGGCTTAGTAATAACTTAAGCATCAGTAACACATTGACAATTTCAAAGCACTTCTACATAAAACATCTCAGATCTGTCCTCTGGAATGCTTGTCCCTGTCTCTAATATTCTCCCCTTCTTTCTCCAATCCGGCAGCAATAACAGCAACAAACGTAACACCAATGCCAGCACAAAAAAAATTAGCTCAGCAATTCAATCAGTTGAGCATCAAAACTGCACCAACTTTTTTTATTTTCCTGAAGTCAGAACATGAGTCTTGTTTGGGGACCCTGATCCACCATCAATGGGCTCTCACTGCAGCCCACTGCTTCTTGCCGTGAGTGATGGGGGTCCTGGAGGGAAAGGACTTCCCCCTTAGTCACTGGGATTGCTCAGGGGGTACCGAGGCTCAGCCTTTAAGAAACAGGGACAGGGGATTCTCAAACCTGAGAAGTGGTTGGAAGGAGGCAGGAAGTAGATCTATGTGGTTATAAGTTAGATTCTTGAATGGGATGATGTAGACAGAGGGAACTGGGGAAGCCAAGGACCAAGGGATGAACCAATAGGGAATACAAGGCCACATATAGTATGATACAAATCAAAGAATTATGGAACTGCAATGGAAATTGCTCATTTTCCAGATAAGAAGATAGGGGTCTTGGCAAGTGATAGAACTCATGCCAAGTCACAAAGCAAGTTAGGGGGAGATAGGATGCAAGATGAGTAATAGAATAATGTCTCCTTTCTCTACCAATTTTTCATGGCCTGTTCCAGATTTCTTGAGATAGATATTGCTGCTTCAAGTGATGAGGGTTTCTTAAAAACTGGGGGGAACTTAAGAGCCATGCTTACTGTCCAACACCCAAATTTCACCCGGGATTCTTCTGAGCATGACCTCATGCTTGTCAAGTTGACACAGCCCCTAAAGCCCAATGACGAGGTGAAGCTGGTCGATCTGCCCAGTACCATGGAGGACAGAAGAGAGGACACGTGCACTATTTCTGGCTGGGGGTGGGCCTGGAAGAATTTCGGTGAGTGAACCTCAAGACAGACCCTTAGTGTTCCTTGAGTAACCAATCAATGAGAATTAACATAAAACTTTTATTATAGACTAAAGGCCTGGTGCACGAATTTGTGTACCAGTGGGGTCCCGTAGCCTGGCCTGTGGGATCGGGCCAAAACCAGCTCTCCGACATCCCCCAAGGGGTCCAGATTGCAAGAGGGCGCAGACCAGGCTGATGAACCCCACCAGTGCACGAGCGGGGCTGGGGAGGGACACGGGAGGTTGGCCAGTCGGGGAGGGACTGCAGGAGGGCTCCAGGGCATGTCCGGCCCTTCTCGTTCAGTCCTAATCAACCAGACTCCAGCAGCAAGCTAACCTACTGGTTGGAGCATCTGCCCCACCCTGGTGGTCAGTGCACGTAATAGCAAGCGGTTGAGCAGCCTTAGCATATCATTAGCATATTACACTTTGATTGGTTGAACGGCCGACCAGTCAACCAGACACTTAGTATATTAGGCTTTTATTATATAGGATCCTGAAAGCTGGATGGGGCCTGAGAACTTGCATATTTAACCTCTAATTTTATTAATGTGAGAATTGAGGTTCAAATTGTTGACATGATATACCCAGGGTTAACATGGCTATTTATGGCTAGAGGTCTCTAGAATCCAGTGTTCTTGCCTCATTCACCAACCAGGTGAAAGGGTGTCTGGGTGAGGAAGGGGTTGGAGGGCAATCTCGCTGGTAAATGCTCAGTGTGGCTCATTTGTTAGAAAACTTACAAACACTCACAAATAAAAATAATTTCTTTTAATTTTTTTTAAACATGCATGTGCAGGTCCAAGGCATGCAGTTTATAATACTGGAACCAGACCTTGGTTTTCTCATTTCATTATCCGTTTTCTTCTCTGGTTCTTCTTCTTCTTCCTTCTTCCTCCTCCTCCTCTTCTTCCTCCTCCTCCTCCTCCTCGTTTCTTCTTTCTTCTATTCTTTTTTTGTTAATCCTCACGTAAGGATATTTTTCCATTGATTTTTAAGGAAAGTGGAAGACAGAGGGCTGGATGTGAGAGAAACACATTGATTGGTTGCCTCCTCCATGAACCCTGACCAGGGTCTAGACTGGGGAGGAACCTGCAACCAAGGTACATGCCCTTGACTGGAATCGAATCCGGGACCCTTTAGTCCATAGGCCAACACTCTATCCACTGAGCCAAACTGGCTAGGGTTCTGGGTCCTTTTCATTTTGGCTTTTTCTTTCATTGAATAATGGAGAAGTTAATAACAGAAAAGAGGGAAGAAAGGAGAGAAGGAAAGGAGATGAATATGTGAAGGATCAAAGAGAAACAAAGTCTCAGTCTCTCTCTCTCTCTCTCTCTCTCTCTCTCTCTCTCTCTCTCTCTCTCTCTCTCTCTGCGTGCTCACACGCGTGTGCTCAGAGACAGATCCTGATATCGAGGTAAACCAGACTGTCTTTTGGTTCTCTAATGAAAACTGCCAAGAGTCTCCAATAAGGAAATTTCCTGTCAAAATCACAGAGAACATGTTCTGTGCGGGGTCATCTCTGGAGAGCACACACTCCTGTAAGGTAACTCTTCCCTCTGAGACGCTGGTTTGGGATCCATATCTCCAATAACCCAATCCAATGTCTTGTCTCTACATTCAAGAGCAGATCAAGGTAAATGGGGTGCAGGAAGGAATAAGTGTCCCCCTTCCAATCAGGAGTGAACTTAGGTGCCAGGGTGGGGACATCTCAGAGTGTTCTCATTTTTTTATGGCGTCCTCTGACGTGGCCTAGGGAGAGGGGTGGGATGGCCCCAGGGTGGCCGCCACACATTCCTCCCAGTCCTTACTACCACACCTCTCTGTTCTGGGCCCTCAGATAGGGACTTGGGACTGGATCATCTTTGTTTTGGCTACACTGCCTGACCCATCTCTCCTTTTTCTAATAGGAAATAGATGCTGCCCCAATCCTGTGCCAAAACCAGCTCCAAGGGATCCTCTCCTGGGCAGAGGGGTGCATTCTGAGAGGTGATATTGGCTACTACACCAAGGTTTCCCACTACACAGACTGGATTCTCAGGGTCATCCGTACCAACTGAGCTCTCTGTAGTCCCTCTCCCTCTAACCTCAGAACAAGATGGGAACTTGGCTGCAAGAAGTTTTCTGTTCCTTCCGTTCTCTTGACTTCTCTTGTCCTTTCTCAGTCCCAGCTTGAATGATTATCAAAGAACTTGAGCTGGATACTATTCTCATAAACGGGATAACTTCTCACTACTCCCTTCCTCTCCTCCAACTTCCTACTTACCTGCCGTGGTTTCCCCAGACTTTTCTGGAGCTGTTCTCCACCCACCGCCCTTCAGACGACATGTAGGCCCCAGGAATGTGACAGTGAGATTGTGGGCAGCTCGGTGGTGCCTCCTTTTGTCTGACATCATTAGTGTTAGTCAGGGTCTGTGCCTCTCACCCCATCGTATCTAGTAAGGCTGCAGTAAATGCAGGATGTTAAATAGGCTGTTAGAAACATAATTATTAAAAACAGAGGCTATCATTTTATGAAAGCAACAAGTATAAGGGTTTCAAAAAGGTTAAGAGTTGAGGGAATGGGGAGAGGAGTTAAATGGGTCAGACCACCAACAGGAAAGGAGGGATCATCTGAGAGACCTTTCTAAATGCTAAGCACAGAGAAATCTAAGGTGGCCGGAATGAGATTACCAGAAAAACAGGGAAATACTGAAACTTACATGACTATAATTGTGTCCCTGTGTGTGTGTGTAAGTGGGAAAATATACATTTGTGTGTATAGATTGGAAGGGGTTGTGCACAGAATGAGCCATTGTTTTAGGGCAGGGAAATATTGGCCTGGTTTGTGAAAGATGGATAAAAGAGGTGGTTGGGAGTGTGGGCATGTTTTTTTTTCTTAAAAAAATTTTTTTTATTGATTTCAGAGAGGAAGGGAGAGGGAGAGAGAGAGAGAGAAACATCAATGATGAAAGAGAATCATTGATCAGCTGCCTCCTGCATGCCTCCTAATGGGGATCGAGCCCACAACCTGGGCATGTGCCTTTGACTGGACCATTCAGTCTGCAGGCTGACACTCTATCCACTGAGTCAAACCGGGTAGGGCTGTTTTGTTTTTTTAAAATATATTTTTATTGATTTCAGAGAGGAAGGGAGTGGGAGAGAGATAGAAACATCAATAATGAGAATCATTGGTCGGCTGCTTCCTGCACTCCCCACACTGGGAATAATCGAGCCCACAATACGGTCATGTGCCCTTGACCAGAATCGAACCTGGGACCTTTCGGTCTGCAGGCTGATTCTCTATCTACTGAGCCAAACCGGCTAGTTTTTTATTTTCTATATTTCTTTTATATCTGGGGTGACCTTGCTGGCCAGGGAAAGACTTTTCCTCTCAAAGCTAACAAATTCCTAGAAATAGCAAATGACTACCCCCATCACATGCTTTCCATATACAAACAAACCAACTCAGAGCCCACACTCCCAACCACCTCTTTTATCCATCTTTCACAAACCAGGCCAATATTTCCCTGCCCTAAATGACCCCAGGGTCAGGAATTAGACAACTAAAGACCACCACCCTAGCCCAACACCCACTGAAATGATTCAGATTACACAATCCTGAACTTGCTCACACTGGCCTGCCCTGCCTGCCCATTGCCTCTTTCGGAAACCACAGGAAAGGCTTGTGCCTGTGGCTTCCCTTCCCTCCTGCTGCTTCCTGCCTGGGCCGGCAGGCTCTTCCTCACATATCCCTGCTTGGCCTGGCTTGCCCCTTAGTGAACTCTCTTCATGGTGTTGGCCTCTCAGTGTTCTCACTCAGTTATCTCTACAATTAAAATCCTGGGTACAATCAAAACACGCATCTAAGATTGTCAAACTACAGCAGGAACGCTGGGGAGGGTGGCGGGAGGGGGGGGGCGTAAGAAATCAACCAAAAGACTTGTATGCATGCATATAAGCATAACCAATGGACCCAAGACACTGGGGGACGGAGGATGTGAGGGCATGTGCCGGGGAGGTAGGGGAAGCCAGGGGAAGGTCAATGCAGAAAAAAGGAGACATATGTACTACTATTTGTAATACTTTAAACAATAAAATGAAATAAATAAAAAAAACCACCCATCTAATGAGCTTTTAAATCTCAGTTCTTGTGTTTTTTTATTTTTTTCAGTTTTATTTCAAGAAAAATGATTTTAAATATAATAATGTTACATGCAATAAACACCAGTTATTCAAGAAAAATGATCTTACATATAATATTACATGCAATAAACATTAATATTTTAAGAATAAAAGGATTTTAAGTATAAAAATACTACCAAAACTACCGGTACTAACATAGTATGATATCACAAAAGTTGTAGGAAATATCAAAAATCTGCAAATAACAGGATTACTTCTATTATATTCTAGTATATCCCCCCCAGCCCCGGCTCTTTTTTGTTCATCAGTTTATGCTGTTCATTATATTCCACAAATGAGTGAGATCATATGATATTCATCTTTCTCCGACTGGCTTATTTCACTTAGCATGATGTTTTTAAAGTCTATTTTGTTGGATATCAGTATTGCTACTCCAGCTTTTTTTTTTATCCCTTCATTTTCATCCTGTGTGTGTGTTGTTTTGAGGTGGGTCTCTTGTAGACAGTATATAGTTGGGTCATGTTTTTGTATCCATTCAGCTACCCTACACCTTTTGATTGAAGCATTTAATCCATTTTCATTACGGTTATTATCGAGAGGTACTTATAGCCATTTTAATTCCGTATGGCTAGGTTTCTCTCTCTGTTTCTTCTTCTCAGCAATCCCTTACAGCAATCCCTTTAGCATTTCTTGTAATGCTGATTTGGTGGTGATGAACTCCTTTAGCCTTTTTTTTTGTCTGGGAAGCTCTTTATTTGACCATCTATTTTGAATGCTAGCCTTGCTGGATATGGTAATCTTGGTTTCAGATCCTTGCTTTCCATTATCTTGAGTACTTCATGCCATTCCCTTCTGGCCTGTAGAGTTTCTGATGAGAAATCAGGTGTCAGCCTTATGGGGACTCCTTTGTAGGTAGCAGTTTTCTTTTCTCTTGCGACCTTTAAGATTCTCTCTTTGTCTTTAGTTTTTGGCATTTTAATTATGATGTGTCTGGGTGTGGGTCTGTTTGGGTTCTTCTTGTTTGGGGTTCTCTGTGCCTTCTGAACTTGTGTGACTTTTTCCTTTACCGGGTTAGGGAAGTTTTCTACCATTATTTCTTCAAACACCTTCTCTATTCATTTCTCCCTTTCCGCCTCTTCTGGCACACCTACTATTCTAATATTGTTATGTTTCACATTGTCCCACAGCGCCCTTAAGTTCTCCTCCTGTTTGTTAATTGTTTTTCTTTTTGGTTCTCTAATTGAGTGATATTTTCAGCTCTGTCTTCTAATTAACTGATTCAATCCTCTGCTTTCCCTAATCTGCTGTGTATTCCTTCCAATGTGTTCTTTTTTTGTGTTATGTAATTCTTTATCAGACTGTTTTTTCATAGTTGCTATATCTTTTTTTATACTGTTGAGCATTTTTAACATCATTACTCTGGACTCTGTTTCAGATAAATTTCTTATCTCTGCTTCATTTATCTCTTCTGGAGAATTTGCTAGTTCTTTCATTTGGGGGTTGTTTCTTTGTCTCCTCATTTTGGCTGTTAGTTTGGGTTTGTGACTATGTATTAATTAGGTATATCTGCTATGCCTCTCAATCTCTAGTGCAGGGCAGCGTTAAAGGCTGTTTCTGACTAATTGGATCAGGAAAAGACTTAAAGCCTCCAGAGACCACCTCTGTCTACAGCAGTGGCTCTCAATCTTCTGGCCCTTTAAATAAATACAGTTCCTCATGTTGTGACCCAACCATAAAATTATGTTCGTTGCTACTTCATAACTGTAATGTTGCTACTGTTATAAATCGTAATGTAAATATCTGATATGCAGGATGGTCTGAGGCGACCCTTGTGAAAGGGTCGTTCCACCACCAAAGGGGTCGAAACCCACAGGTTGAGAACTGCTTGTCTACAGACTAATACAGTGGTTCTCAACCTTGGCTGCACATTAGAATCACCTGGGAATCTTTTTAAAATCCTGATTTTGGGCCTCATCCCCTGGAAATTCTGTTTCTTTGTTACTAATGTTGTGGCCTCACCCCATAACAAAGAAACAGAATTTCCAGAAGATGAGGCCCAGAAATCAGGGTTTTAAAAAGATTCCCAGGTGATTCTAATGTGCAGCCAAGGTTGAGAACCACTGGACTAATAGGATTCCGACTTGAATTGCCCCCAGGCAATTGTCCTCAGGTGTGGTGATAGTTATTTCAACAGGGTGGGGCAGTTGCTTCTGCCTGGAGGCTAATCTCTTATGTGGCCTCAAAGCAAGGTGTTTTCCAATAGGGTGTGTTGACTGTCTTCCCCCCAGGCAAAACAGATGTCTTTGTGGGAAAGATGTCTTCTGCTGTGTGAGGGAATGATTCAGCCCAGGACACTTGGGGTGTCTGCCTTCTGAGCTCTATTCCCCGAGTCCCCAGTCCTGGGTTCTGGTCTCATAGCTCCAGTCCACTTCACCCTCCCTCTGCCAGAGCACAAGGTGGGTGGCTCCACAGGGAATTTTTGTGCTTTGGCCCTTCAAGAGGGTGCCCGAACTTTCAGCTGCCACTCCCTGGCAGACAGCACCCCACTGCTTTTCACAGCTAGATGTTATGTGGGTACCCTCCTCAGTTTGGTACTCTCTGCTGGGGAGCCCAGCTTCGGGATTAGGTCCCAGAGTTCTCAGTGCCCTCCCCCCCCCGCCCCCCAGCTGAGATATCTCTCCGGGGCTTCAGTTGCCCTCTGTGGGTGCCCAGCCAGCCCTTTTGCGCCTCCGCCCCTCCTGCCAGTCTCTATGTGGTCTCCACCTACGGTCCTTGGGTATCAGGGTTCTCTCCTGTGAGTTTTCCATTGATTATTCAGGAAGCCTTTCCGTATTTCAGTTGTAATTCCAGCTTGTTCCTGGGAGCATGTCCGAACAGTCAGTTCTTGTATTTTTTTAATTTAAAATTTTCATTTGGCTCTTTTTTGTATCTTTTATAAATCTTGACTAAGTTTTTTCATTTGACTTAAGAGTATTTGTAATAACTGCTTTAAAATCCCCGGCTCATAATTCAAACATCTGTGTCATCTTGGTGTTGGCATCCGTTGATTATTTTCTTGAGTTGAAATTTTCATGACATGGTTGTTGAGGCAGAGAGCATGGGAGAATGATCAGCCAGCTCTGAGGGAGGAAAGTTTAATCTTTATTTCGCAGATCTGCTAGTCCAGGGGAATTCTGGATCCAAAGCCTGATCTCAACTCGTGGGGAGGCTCTGAACTGTATATCTCCTCCTGTGGCGGCCCCTGAGGGTCCCCGCAGCTCCACCCAAGTCAGCTGTGGCGGGGCCCTGGGGGTAGGCTCTGCAGCTCCGCCCAAGTCAGTCAGAGTGGGGAAGGAAGACTACAGTTTTTGTTTTTGTTTTGTTTTGTTTTGTTTTGAAATATATTTTATTGATTTTTTACAGAGAGGAAGGGAGAGAGATAGAGAGTTAGAAACATCGATGAGAGAGAAACATCGATCAGCTGCCTCCTGCACACCCCCTACTGGGGATGTGCCCGCAACCAAGGTACATGCCCTTGACTGGAATCGAACCTGGGACCCTTGAGTCCGCAGGCTGACGCTCTATCCATTGAGCCAAACCGGTCAGGGCAAGACTACAGTTTTAACCAGATGCTGAACTAGGTTGCAAGGCATCCCCCTCCATTTTCCTTTTCATGGTGAGTAAATTTGGACTATATCCTAGACCAGTGATGGAAAACCTATGACACGCGTGTCAGAGGTGACACGCGAACTCATTTTTTGGTTGATTTTTCTTTGTTAAATGGCATTTAAATATATAAAATATCAAAAATAGAAGTCTTTGTTTTACTATGGTTGCAAAGATCAAAA